ATATATATTTTAGAATCACATATATTTTTTGAATTTATTATATATTTATTTATAGTTCCATGTGTATAAAGTTATGCAGTACATTAAAAAAATAAAATGAACTTATATAATAATTAATAATACATTTTATTAATCATATTTTATATTATTAATTATATAATAATAATAATAATATGTAATTTTATTATTAATAACATTATTATACATTATTATGCATAATATACATTTTATATGGAATTATATGTTATTATTACCTAGCTCTTTTAAACATTACCTTAGTTCTAGCTGGCTATTATAAAACTGAGCTTATGTAGAGTCAAAATAAATCACACTACTTGTAAGCCTTGTATGCTGTATAACATATAATTGTTTATCAATAGTGTATTGGATGGACTGTACTTCCATCCTTCACAGCCTTATTTTTATTTGCATCAAATTAAATATGGCATCCACCCTCATGGTATCCTATAGGAAGTAGAAATGTTGCTCTCTTTGATGGTCCTCTGTCTTATTTGTCTCTTACATGGCCTGTATCCAGTACAAAGATATGTCAATCCTCCTTATTTGTTTCATGCTAATTTCAGAAGTTCTAACAGTTGATTTCTTTGTTTCCAGGGTGACATCCAGCAGCTGATGATTGTATCGGACCATCGTGCTGCGCTTGACTACTGTGAGCACTACAGCCCTGACTGTGAGGTTCCTGCACCCGAACAGCCCCAGAACCAAGACCCAAACACTGATGAATATGTAAGTTCATGCACAGTACTTCCTCCATGATTCATTCCCTTTAGAGATGGAGGAGCACTGAGGACGTTCCAGAATCCTCTGAACAAAACCAAACCAAAACAGACAGCAGAGATGCGTTCCTTGTAGATTGAGCAACAACCTTCTTGCGTTGGTCCAAATCAGCTCGGTTGAAGTCAAGAACATCTTATCGAGCGTTTGCACACACACCCAAAGCACTTTTAAATCCTAAATCAAAAATAAAACCATAACGTTAGCCAATAATCCCTAGCCATGGCCATTTTAGTAACAGATATGTTTTAATGGTGAACCGTTATTCAGTTTAAATGGTAAATGATTTATTATTAGTGCAAGTGCTGCTCACATTTTCATCCACAAATGTAGAAATCTGGTTTTGGTGTTACAGTTGGCATATCTGACAGCACAAAGCATGCACTGTTTGACTATTTATTCAGTATTATTTCATTTATTCAGCTTTCATTCAGTCTTTGGAATGAGAAACAAATTAAAACGGCGTAATAATACCTGCCCACACTTGTGTGTGTGTGTGTTTCAGGCATATAAATTCTTTATGGCTCTTTCCATCTCTTGGAAAGAATTTAATGCAGGCAGTCTGTTTAGCATTTATTTTTCCAACCGAACGAATGACATCATGAGTCAGAGAAACGAAAGAGAGAGTGATAGAAGGAGGAGATGAGAGTGCTGAAGCAGGTCTCGTCCTGTAGAGCGCTTGGGATCAGTATTGCTGACATATTTTATTGATAACGTAAAAAATGTAAAGAAAAGACATTATTTGACATAAATTCATATTCGAGTCTTTTTGGTAGAAATACGAGAAAGCAAAATATCACATTTCACATTTGTGACAAATTAAACCTTCAAATTTTGCCAGTAGTGCGTTTCTAGTGGATTTGATGCTTTAATCACACAGATAATAATTACTACACTGCAAAAAAATGCTGTTTCCAGCCAAAATATCTAAAAATGCTTAAATCAAGAACGATTTTCTAGACAAGTAAAAATTATTGTCTTGTTTTCAGAAAAAACAAGTGAAAATTAAGTGAGTTTTTGCTTGAAACAAGCAAAATAATCTGCCAGTGGGGTAAGCAAACTAATCTTGTTTTCTGTTTGAAATAAGATTATTTTGCTTACCCCATTGACAGATTATTTTGCTTGTTCTAAGCAAAAACTCGATTTTGACTTGCTTTTT